AGCATGTCTGTGGGTTATGCAGTTTTCCCATCGTGGGAGAGGAAACAGAAGGGAGGTCTGGATAAGATCAGGTTGGGTAAGACCAGACGTTCAGAGGGGGCAAAAGGAGCTGAGGCTACCTAGTCTCCCAGAAGGCTTACTGAAAACATGGTATAGGACAAAAGCAGTGCAGCCTGCAAGCAGTCATCCATAAGGTGAAGAGAGTATGTTCAGGTTTTTTGTGAAGCCAGGCTGGAGGAGCATTCCTGTAAGAGAACATTTTCTCTGCTGCATAAATAATTAAGCAGTGGTGGTGTTTTGCCTTTAGGCAACAGTATTACCGTTACCATAAAGTAGTCATCAATAATACAAATAGATATATGAGGAAATACAAAACCATTCTGGGTCATGGATTTAAATTCGTACAGAAGAGGGACAGTTCTTTTGAGCTTTGTGGAGAGCTGAAAGCCTTCTACAAGGGGCTTTAAGTCCCCTGAACCAGCAACCTGGCCAAGCAGGGACAAGCAGGGGAGCCTCTTGGCATAGTAATACAGGGAAGATCTGTGTTACCCCTGCATGTGATTACCCTGTTCGACTGCCTCCTTCCCCAGGTCCTGCAGCAAGGCCGGATGACTACAAAGTCTGTAGAGAAGCAACATTGGTACTGGTGAAGTTTTGTATCCACAAGACTTGGTATAATGGGTTAAAATGGAAAAGAAACAAACATCCAGTAATTGTGTTTTGTAACTGGGATTCTTTTTCAAAGAAAGTGATAATAAGTCAGTTCTGGTCTGACCTTCATTCTCTGGAAGACTTTTACCTCTTTGCCATGTAGCTTGACCCTGACGCTCCTGTTGGAGGCAGGGGAGGACCCGCACGCCCAGCAGCCCTCCCTCTCCGTGCTGCTTTCCCCCTTGCAAGTCTCCTGCGCGCACTGAGGTGTCTTCCACTGAGCTCTGTAAAGCAGAAGTAGAGCACAGCTCCTTTGATGATCTTGATCTAAATAGCAAGTTGTCATCTGAATTAAAAGGGAGAGACTGCAGCGGATGAAAGAGAAGCAATATGCTTATTTTCTGGTCTAGCAGTGCTGTTATTCTACCTGTGTCCCAAGCCCATACACAAATAATTGGGAATTTGCTGTCTTAATGGCTGTTGGTTTTTTTATTGTGCCTCTGCGGCTGTGTGGGTGAATGTGAAAAGGTTTTTGCACATGTATATATGTATTTTTGGTAGATACTGCACAGCTAAAGCCTCTTTTAATTTTCTCTCTAATTTATTTTTAATTTTGTAACCCCTCAGGGGTAAATCCTTATTATATGATGTAAAATCATCTCTTCTACCAAGCAGCTTATTTGTTGATTTTTAATTTGAGCCAGCAGAGGCAAAGCTGTAGCTTTTTTCCAAACTCTGAGAGGTCCTCTGTATATATAACTGTCAAGTGTGAGTCTCTCTGCAAAATTAGTAAAAACTGCAAAACCTAAACCTTTTTCCCTCATTTTTTTTTTTATGCCAAGGTGATGTTTATTACTATTCAGAATCTAGACTTTTGAATGAAGCTCCTGATTCCCTCTGCTTCTCATTTTAATCACCTCAGGTTAAGTCAAGGCTTCCCACTTATCTCCCTAACTCCCATTTCACTTCTCCATGTTGTTGCTGAGCTCCGGGAGGATGCCATCTGTGATTGCTGTCCCGAGGTCCTGTCCTGCTGACAGCCCATGCCTTCTCCACACTGTCTTCCACTGTTGCCTTCTACTGGGCCACTCTTGCGACAGTGTGGCATTTGGATATGGTGTGGCTTTATTTCAGCCCCATCTCAAAACCGGGAGTCCGCCTGCCTCTTCCGTGATTTGCCCATAGCATTGGACTGACACTCACTGCAGCTGATCATCTTTCCCCTGCCCTTCTCTGCATAAAATCTCCCACTTCAGGAGCGATTCATTCCCTTCTGTGAATTGTGATGGCAATGCCAAAAAAAATAGAGAGTAGTAAAGAAATAACAGTCCCCAGATTAACAATGTTAAACGTGCCTTGCTTTTTGCTCAGATAGATGCTCAAATGGGGTCCATCAGTTTTGCTAATGCTTGTAGATCTGCACAACCGACATGATAACAATAAATGATAATAATGTGGGCCCAGGGATGCAGGTCAGAAGCCAGACCTTTCTTGCACACTAAGTAACAGGAGATGCAGCAAGTGAGTGGAAGTGAAGACTGAGTATGTTCCACAGAGAAAGATGCAGCTCCCGCACAAGATTTTTTTCCAGGAACAAATTCACTATTTTATTTTTGTCATGCTGAATGCCTGTACATCTCTCTACTTTCCAGTGGGCAAGACAAAGACACTTGCTGTGAAGCTAAACCAGTGTTCATCAGAGCTGCACGGTGCCTGCATAAATTAATTTCAGCATTGCTTTTTGCTCTGCAGAGCCTTCTCAGCTGAACCTGATTTTTTGCATTTTGGAATGTCGCAGAGCTGTATACCAAAGATAAAACACCACTTGCCAAATATTTTTCTTATTTCTGTCATTAGCCCAGAAAGGTTTGAGAAAGCAAAAGAGAGAACTGTGTGTGTCAGTTAAAATCACAGATTTAATTTCCATCTCTGGAAACTCTGACTTTACCTGTTAGCCAGAGGTCATGACCATACATTCCTTTTTAAAGCTAACTTATTTGGCCACATCTGAAGAGTACAACGGTCTGTGGCTGGAAATTGAAGCTGGAGAAAACAAGCACTGGCAAACCAAAGGTACCAAAAAATTCCTTGAAATTTGTCTGTAGTCCTTGCTCAAGCAGCCTAATGTCAGTGCCAGTTCTTGAACCTGCTGCTTCTCTCTGCTTTGTAGGTACCACCAAGGTCTTACTGTTACAAAACCAGTCTTGGGTCGGTGTTGGAATAGAGACTGCGGTGACTCTGAGAGGTTTATACTGTCTAATAGTTTAACGTCTTTGATTTTTAAACTTTCCCTTTACAATTAACAAGAAGAATTGCTGTGAAGTGCTAAACATGCCTTTCCCATGGCATTGATGTTTTTCAGCTGGTGTTTTAAAGGTATTATCTGGGCAGCACAAGGATTACAGATATAGTTTCATTACCTGGAAAGGATCTATCTGCGTGTTTTACACCAATTTTAGTAGAAATTAGGACATCTAATCTCAAATGCTTTTTTTTGAAAATACCTCCCTAAATGTATTAAAAATATAATATATATAATGTCCCTCTTTCTTCATGCTCAAATCATCCTAACAAATACATCAATGTAGTCATAATTCATGTCAGCGCGTTGTTCCTGTATTTCTTTTTAGTGAGTTCTCCTGTGTGTTGGTGGTTACAGGCAAGTGTGGTTATGGTTGAATGTACTGACTCATTCTTATTTAGGGTCTTAAATAATTAGCCTACTCACCACCTTGTTTCTACTATTTCTCCACTGCTTACTGAGAGGAAGAGAAAGAGAAAAAGAGAAGGGAGAGAAGGAAGGAAAGCTTTTTAGGATTTAGTTTTGCACTCAGTGTCATCGCTCTAATAAATAATTAGGTTGTTGCCTAATAATATCCCACTGGAGGTGTGTATGTGTGAGCACCTGTTAATGAACAAATGTCAAATGATTTGGATGCTTGGTTCAGATAAATACCCATTCAGGTCATTCAGTGGGGCCAAGATTTAACATCTAAGATCCTGAATCAGCTTCTGAAGTAATTATCCATTTTTCTGTGATTGCATTTTATAAGATCGGACGTAGTCCTGTGCTATAGAGCTTCTATGATTCTATTTCTGATGGTATGGCAGCACACATGTCACTGGGTCTATTTGAATCAGAGAGCAAAAACTCTTGCGATGATAGAAAATGATGAGGGGCAATTGGGAAGCCTGAGCAAGTTTTGGTGGCGACTGACAATAATGTTCCTTTTCTTCTGTATTTTCCACCACTCATTTTGATGATCACAGGCACTTAGAAAGCCTGCAGGAACATGAACAAATCTCAGAATAGTGGGGTTGTTTTTTAAACTTTCAGGACAGTTCAAGCTCCATTTATGGCACTTTGGCAGTACAGATCAACCCTACTTAGATCCCTGTTTAGGCTAGAGACTCTTAAAGACCTCCAGTCATACTGTGTCCAGTCCCAGCCGGGATGTCTGGCCCTTTCATGTCTGGAGCTTACTGTAATGCAAATAAGTAACAGGTTTGCTCATCCTCACTAATGAGCTAGTTTCTTTTGAACGGAGAACAATAATAATCCCTAGCCTAGCGTGAGGAATGCTTTGACCTTTTGAAAGTTGTGGGTTTGATCTGCAGACCGTATTGTACTGTCAGTCTTCACGTGGTGGAAATTAAGTACTGGGTGATTGGCAGGGCTCCCGCAGAAGGCAGTGAACCCGCCTACTGCAGAAATTGATCCTGGGAGCAGAGCAACCTGTCACGCAAAATCTGTCTGTCTCAGTGCAGCCTTTCTCTAAATGAGTCTGATATTTTGAACCTCTGGGATCGTAATAACCATCCTTAGAACAGGGTCTGTAGTCTGCCTCGAAGTGATGTTGTTACTCTCCTGCTCTAATATTCCATCATATTTGCAAATACCGGTAATCTCCCACATCTGGCAAAACCCTCTTGCATCATGTGTGACGCAACACTTATCAGTATGTATGGAAAGTATAAATGTATGTAATAAACTGCTCTATTCATTGTATAATGCTTTATGCATTTTATATACGTATATAAGTGTGTGTGTATATAAAACTAAAACTGAGAACACATTTGCAGTCTGCCCAAGCTGCACTTGTTTTTCCTGGCGTTGTTTACATCTTAAGTGAAGTGACAATCTGACCCTCACATACTACTTCACCAAGCTGGCTGCTTTAATATCTGTGAGACAAATAGGGTGTGTTAGTTTTCACCTCTTTTTAGATGGTGCTTTTCAACTGCATATTGTAAATGCGAGAGACCTTCTAGAAAATTTCTCTTGACAGGCAGGTATTTTGTGCATGTAAACCTCTCTTTTACATAATTCTTCTTGTTTGTTACCACAGGAGAAGAAAACTTGCTGGCGATTTTGAAAAGGAGATGGTGGAAGTACATGATCCTGGGGATAATAGATATAGAAGCCAATTACCTGGTAGTCAAAGCTTATCAATACACCACTCTTACTAGTGTACAGGTAAGGACTCATTTGAGGTAAGGTAATAGCCCCAGTGGGGTCAGTGGTGCAGTGTCCATAAGCTTCAGTGCACTAAGAACTAGTTGCTGCCTGTGTCTTCTGTGTACTTTTGTTCATTTTCATTACTCAGTATTTTCCAAACTGTACAAAAACATACTGGCTTTCATTTTATTTTCCTGTGCTAAACCGTTCATAATCACATTTTTGGCATTATCTACTTAATTTGGTCCTTTAAGGAGATATTTTCAGATGGGCTGAAATGTTTTTCTCACTTTATATTGCGCTTGGAAAAAATGCAAGCACTTCTTTTAGGATTCCATAATTAGATCTGAGTGCAAAAGTTGTAATTAAGTAAAATGAGTGTAGCTATGATGAAGAAGTCTTACTTTAATGCAAGCAGTTAGATGTGTTATGTTATATAACAGCTTAGCTGCAGCTATCAAAAAGTGTGCGCTCCCTTAAAAAATTATACATGCAGTGAACAAAAGCTTGGGTAGCAACTTCTCCAAAGATCTAACCTCTATGTTTTAAATACAGACACAAAAGGGTAAGGCTTCTTCCCATTTAAGTGGAGAAAGTGAATAATAGAAACATTTTTAAGAGGGTGGAAACTGTCTGTCTTGAGAAATCATTGCATAACCCGTTGCTACTTGTTCTAAAACAAACCTACACCCTTTTTACATTATCTCTAAATAACTGGGCAACACTAGGTAGTGTTCAGTGTATTTTATACCTTATTTGCCTGAAGTTTGCATTAGAGCCAGTGAAATAGAGGAGCACCAGTTAATGTCCTGCAGAATCAAAGCTAATTAGGAATATATCTCTTCCATGGTTGAAAAGTAATATCGGAAAATACTGAGGTTGTTTAGCTGAATAAGAAGCAAAAATAGAAGCAGACTATAAATTCAAGGAATCTGAATGTGAGGTTTATACTAAATATTCACAAATGCCTCTGCCGATAGGATCTTGGTTTGAGGAGTCTTTGAAACATGCCCAAACAATGTCATATTGCTTTTAACACTTTTCCAAAACAGATTACTGAGTATAGAATAAAACATAAATCCCCGTAAACCTCATACTGTCCGATTTTATAGCTACAAAAGCCTTGAAGAGAAAAGCAAAAGCTGAATTTCTTCTTTTGCGTGTTCACTCATAGCAAGTAGGAACAGCAGACTGAGCAGAACAATCCCGGTCATTAAATCCCATCTCCCACAGCCACTAACAAGCACGTATCAGAGGTTCATCTGGCCGGACCCATGAAACACTGATTCCAGAAGATGCAAACCCTCCCACTCTTCTGCAATGAGCATGGCCTTTGGTGTAAGAGATCAAAAACTGCAGCACGAGGAGGGAGCAGGCAGGAGGGTTCAAGGGCATTGCCTGAGTCTCAGCAGGGAATTTGTTAGCTGAAATGAGCCACACTCTCTTTTTAGACTGAGAGAGAGAGGAAGGGTGGAACAGGAGAACTGCCACAGGACACAGACTGTGTTGTGTCCTTTTTAGACCTCGTCCACATAACGATTACACAGAGTTCAGGTCTCTTTCCCATGTAGCTTGAAAGAGAGAAGATGTAGAAGCTCAAATGATGTCAAGCTTTTTTCCAGGACTGGAATGAATGCAGTGTCTCCTTTTCCCATAGTTGTCCTAGATTGCTCAGATACACATGGAGTGACGGGGAATACCTGTTGCATTTTATATTCACCTCATGCCTTAATTTGAATGAGCTTCTAAGTATAGACAAGCCCAAAGATATGGCGAGAATGGGACAAGTATGAGGAAATGCATTAAGATGTTCAATCAAATGACACATTTTATGAAAAGTAGCCAAACAACACCCTATTTCATTTAAAGATGAAACAGAAGAACCTCAGGGGACTATTCGGCCTGAAACAGCATTGGTCAAAGTGTGCAATAGTTTGAAATGAAGACTGAAGGAATGGAAAGTAAAAGATGAAAAAAAGTAAGCTTTTCCTAGAATCTGATTTCTGAAGAAGCAAACAGGACCACTCACTCTCAAGCATCTTCTGAAAGGCAGGATCCTGCAGGAGCACTATATGTGAGGCCGTAAATGCTCACTGGCATCTAGCAAGAAGTGCTCAAATCGTTTCAGAACGGAGACCTGAGAAACCATTACTACCCACCACAAATCAGCACGGCTTCCACTGAAGGCTGTGGGAGCTATTCCAATGTATACATTGATTGAGAATCGAGCCCCTCAAGTCAGTTCTGGGGGATTTGATTCTCAACAGGCTTTACGCCAAGGCTTTTTTAATGGAGAGAATATAAGAGTTTTTAAAATTGTTACTTCAGTAAATGAAAGATCCTGCAATATTTTTATAGTGGTGGCACATGGACCATTTCAGTAGGAAATCAGTTTTACAGCATAGCCTTTTTTTCCACATGGTATCTCTGCTCCGTCATGCAAAACTAACATGCAAGTGTACTGGGCTTGTTGCGCTTTTAGGCAGAAAACATTAAGCTGCTCTCAGCAAAAAGCCAAAGTTTAACTGTAAAAATATACCTTTATTGCAATTGATTTGCAATTCTGCTTCCACAAAACAACTCCAAGCACTCAACAGCTTTGTTTGCCAAGTAGCTTTAAACTCTTAGGGCTGTCAAAGTTTCTAGTTTAAACTCCATCTTTTTTTATAATTGACATTATCTCGTCATCATTCCAGGAAAAGACTGAAAATGGTGCTCTGCTTTCCCCACTGTTTCATACCCAAGTCTTTCCTATACTTTCCTTTAAAATTACCTTTTGGTTTTGGTCTGGGTAAACAGAATTTTCTAATAAACCTTCCTATACGTCTTTCACTGAATGCCTTCAGAACCACAGCGAACGCGGATACACAGGCATAAATCAGAGATGAATATGGCACCTAACCTTTACTTTTGGATGGACTTTTGATTATTTCAAATCCTCATGTACTCTCTAATTACTGTCTGAGAATGTGGCACTCAGCTCCATCATAAGATGAGAACAAAGTACTGTGGAGCCTGGAAACACATAATTTTCCCTTTAAAAAAAAAAAAAAAAACAAACAAAAAAACCACCAAAGTAAAAGACCTCCCTTATAAACTAGGTGGCATTAAAAAAAATTAGACTGAAAACCAATGCACTGTTTATGTTTCAGACATCAAGGTGTAGGTCAATTGCTAAAGATAAAATCCAGGGTACCCTTTAGGTGCCTGCAGTGAGTCCAAGGGCAACTAGATCTAACAGAACAATCCAAGAAACCCACACCTATTTGTCTACATATCTAAAATATCACAGACATCTCACATCCCCTTGTCTGTGTGTAACTGCTGCTCAGAGCACAGTCTTGGGACGTGAAAACATGTGTTTGACCCTCTCAGGGTGCTCCTCCTTTGGTTTAAGTTCAGCTTTAAGTTCTGGTTCTTTGCATGCCCCAAGTGCTCCTGTATTGATGGAGCCAGATGCCTAAATACCTGCCTCCATTTTAAAATTCAAATGCTAAGTATTCCTACATCAAAGTACCGCGAGGAACTCAATTTGTTAGATATGATCTTAGTGTGCCTTAAATGCTTACAGAAAGCCTGGAGTGCCTTCCAGATTGCCAGGGTAGAGCCACCTTTTACATAAAGTCATAGCTGTTCAAACAGTAGCCCTCAGAAGGGGCTTGCGTTAACTCCCTCTTAGCTGGAGGGATTGAAACTCAAGCTTCCCACAGCCATGAAAATGCTCAGGCTAGTAAGTGAAGACTGTTCTCTAGAGGGTACATTTAAAAATTGAGTATACACCAGGTAAAAGGCACAGTAGTTTGTTGATGGGTCAGTTTTATATCTAAACCCACGTATTTCAACAAGTGCCAGAAGTGCCAGGGATCAGTCACACATACTGCTCTCAGACGCATGTGTCCTGATTCCCAGATGGCCAAAAACTTGCAAAATGATCTTTAGTTTCTCTTTGATGCATTAATCTGCCTTGCAGTAGGTTTTGCAGCCTTCTTGCATGTCAGCTGTAGCAGGTCCAGAAAGTGCATTAAACACTCCTGAGTACACTAACGCCCAATCCCATGGACTTTTTTAAAAAACTATGCATTAAACTTTCAGGACTGCCTGCAGTAGCGGTTTCCATATTTATCCTAATGGTTTTTAAAACAACCCTGGTGTAGGCCTGTGGAAGGTTTAATAACTATTCAAGAAGGGTGTTTTAACTTCTGTTAGAGACGCCTTTCACACAGCTGATAAAATTAGTTCCCGCAAAGGGAATTAAAAGATTCCGAAGTTCTTTAGATTCCAAAGTTATTTAGATCTAGATATTTAATTTGTTTGAAACTACATTTTGACTGCATTTACAGTGTATGGCACACACAATCCTACTGAGTCCATAATGTCTTCTGCTAAGCCTGTTAAGACACTAATGTTTGTAACCTTTGCTGCCAGGTAAGTGCTTTCTCATCATGCCAAGCTTCGTTATGGGGCAAACTGACCTCTGCTTTCTCCCCTGTCGCCCCCACGTTAATTAGCTCTCTCTTCTGTGAATACAGTGTTCAATCCACCTGCATATTACACTGTTGTGTTGCACTCCTTAAAGGTAATGTTATATTTTTTCTGGTTTATGACATCACATAGAAATCTGGACTATTTCTGCAATGCCTTGCATAGTGGCACTGTAGAATATGCAGACAATGTCACAAGAAATAAGGCTCTGTCAAGGAGAGAGATGTGTTTCCAAATAGTGATTTATCTGGTAATTTATTCCTTGTGCAATCAAGCCTTTGATTGGCATGATGAAAACAAAGGTAGTAAAAGCCAGGATTTATAGACACCAGGAGACAGACAATAAAACTACGATGCTGATGTTCTCAGCTACTCTTAGATCACTGTAAGGCTCAGCAGTACATCATACTTCCAATTACCTCTGGCACTTTTCATACCTCAACAACTGCCACCAGAAAAGGAAAGGAGTCAGCAGTAAGTGCTTATTATAGCGGTGCTGGATGGCAATAGACTTTGCTTTGTTCTTGGTCCCTATG